TTTTATTTAAGTGTCTAGTCGTTCTAGCGCTTTCGCACTAATTGGGGACACTTTTCGCTTACACGCACTACCACTACATTTAATATTCTATGCACACAAGGCTCAGCTCACATGTTGATTTTTATGGAGGGAGGAAACCGGAGAACCTGAAGAAAACCCTTGTAGCACAGGAGAGAACGACAAATCAAACGAACTCAATTCACATGTGGAGACTTACTTACCTAAAGTACTTTTCCATCAAGTTTTTTAGATTGTTAAGCCAACCCGCGTGGGCAGGGTGAACAGACTGTGCTCTGAATGAGACCAAAAGATGGAGAGAACTCTCCTGTAATGACAGAATAACTCAAAATGAAACTGAATTTCCCATCGACAAAGTATTATTGCTACATCAGGTATTATTACTGACATAACATCAATAATAATAATAATGGGACGTTCTTATATAGCGCATTTATACAATGTCTCAATGCGCTTTACATTTATGACCAGTGGGGGACTTTCCGGGCTGTATATTTTGAAGGTGCTATTAGCAGCTGTGCAGCTTACAATCATGAGTGACATTAAGATGGAATCAAAATAGGGAGCTTACAGTTTCGTTCCCCGAGTCATTTAATATGTACTGCTAATCTTCCTCTTCTAACTGTTGTGGTAATGGGTTCAACCTCAGACCTGCTATCACGGAGACCTTTTCTGTTATAGTGAACATGCTGCATTCTGGTCTAGCCTGGGTACATACATGTATATCTTTTTATATGGTGTTGTTYGTATCCAGGCTAGACAACAATGCACCATGTTTATGGAACTCAGAAAAGGAGAACTCAGACTACATGAGAGGAGTTGTTTGATGGTTCCTCCCCTGTAATGCAAGGGATTTTCCCACAGGTCTGCTCTCATTCTCCTAAGCTGGTACAGTGTCTCTGAATTCACATCATCACGGCAGAAGGTAATCAAAAAAGCAAACATCTCCACTCTTTTTTCAGCCTCCTCTCTCCTGTGTTCCCTAACCTTTTATGCAGCCTAATAGCTCTAAACAGTTGAATTTAACTTACAGGTCGTTTGCTTGAGCATTTCTCCACAATATCATAAAATCTTTCCTCAGATCCTCTGTACTTGCCACTTTCCATGAGTTCTTCAATGTAGTTTAAGAGAGTATGGAGGTTCTCTATTAAAGTAGTCTCCTTTTGTTGCTGCTCCTACAAGGTCAAAATATCATGGATGTAAGAGTTAATTGCCGAGAATGGAGGCAATAAGCCATATACATCCCGAGGGCCGCAGGTCATAAAAATATGCAAACTAGTACAGTACTTAAATAGAGGCAAAGGCAGTGTTCAGTGCTGATGTGTTGCATCTCAATGCTGCGGCAATGGATTCAATTCAGTCCTTGGTTCTGCCATTAAATGTGAGTATAGTTGTTTATTTCTTGTCTTGTTTGAGAAGCAAAGGTGACGTAGCAATGAAAGTGCTCGCCTCTCACCAACGTCACTCTGGTTCAATTCCCAAACTCGATGTCGGGTGAATAGAGTTCTCTCCTGTGCTTCAAGGGTTTTTCTCAGGGTACTTCAGTTTTCTTCCCTCTACAAAAATCAACTTAGTACTAAATTGCAACTCTGCTTCTTCCAACAAACCTTAATCAATGACTGCAGCTTGCTGGTGATATCCAGGACAGAGTCCCAGCTGACAACATGAAGTTCATGGCCGTACTTCTTGACAAGCCTTTGGATTGATAGGGTTACTTCCAGTGAAACTATTGGATGATGACAGAATAGACTCTACAGAGAAATAATCAATGAAACTATTGGGTGAAAATAATATTGGTAGAAATTTTAAACTAAAGACAAAAAAACCTTAGAAAATTATAGTTCGTAATGGATTGCAATGAAATAGAATCTATCAGCAATGACTGCAAGAGCACCCTGAAAAGCTGGTCCACCTGGGATTAGATTTGAAAGTATAGTAGTCAGAATATTAAGTAAAAAGCTAAATGTAGGGAACAGAAAATTTATTTGATATCAGCAAAAACTGGGGAAGCTAGAGTCCCCTCCCTAAGGGGTCCTGAAGGGGTAAAATAGCTGGTGCTGGGATTTGCCTTTTTTGGGCTGTAGAAATGGGATTTTATGCACTGGGAATGGGACTTACAAACAAAAACATGATCAAAAAATGGAAATAGGATTGAGATTTGAGCAAAGCATAGGCTGAGACTATGGATGAAATGGGAATAGGACCCCCTTCAGGACCTTGTCCCTAGCTCCTCCCTCTCCTGATAACAGAGTTAGGAGGGTATAATTAGAATGTACAAAGGAATTGCTCAGAACAAGCTGCATGCAGTGATATCGCAGGGTCACATACCATGAATGAACTGGAAACATGCATCGCTGTCTTACCTGTAGCATTGATGGGAGAACACTTGAATGTGAATGTTTAAGTGTTGTGACCCTCTGCGATCCCCATAGACACATGCCGATAAAAAACACTGCTCCTCTTATCTGCATGACATTTGGAATCTGTTGACTGCAATAGAAATGCAACTATGATGAAAATCTATTTTCTCCCACTAGCATTTTAAAATCTCAAATGGATAACAAGGGAGAATTTAAAACTTGATAATCAAGCTTACCCTCCAGACTCCATGATGGAACACATAGTGTAGACCCCTCGGTGACCCAAATGGGTACCCAACACATTGCGCATAATCTACAGACAATGAAAGAATCAAATAAATATCAATGATATGACATCGGTAAAAATCTAAATACTCTTACCAGTGCCCTCCCTTTCTGGAATTCACCACAGGGATCCCACATCAGAGACAATCAGCATAATTATTGTTTGTACATCATACCTTCCAAGAGTGTTGACAACACTTTTCAAGGTTGACGGTAGAGCAAAGAGCAGAAATAAACTCATGGACTGAGCCCACTGGAAGAGAACTGTACCGAACGACTGCATCCAGGAGACATAGAGAGAACTGCAATAACAAGATACAATTCAGATTCCTCAATTCAGGAGGATTTCGTGCAATCACATGAGGGCAGCCACGTATGGGAGGAATAATCTTTCTAATCATTTTAGATGAGAAAGAATTCATGAATAGTCCCCCTCACAGTTCCCTGCGCCATCAAGGTAGTTGTGCCTTTGCATTGAAGCGAGACTAAAGGTGAGCTTGCAATGATAGAGACATGTGAACAATAATTGTCCAAGGTGTTACAAAAAGGTCTATATCACTGCAAGCTCACCTTTCATCTTATTTTGATGCAAAGGCATGGCTACCTTGATGGTGAGCTTGCAATGATAGAGACATGTGAACAATTGTCCAAGGTGTAACAAAAAGGTCTATATCACTGCAAGCTCACCTTTCATCTTATTTTGATGCAAAGGCATGGCTACCTTTCAAGATGGCGCAGGGAACTATGAAAGGGACTATTCTGCAGCCCAGAGAAAAGGGATTGGCGCAAAATAATTTAAACCTCTACAGATACATTTAATTGGTACATAAAAACGTTTAAAAAAATATTTAAAAAAAAGAGAGAGAAAAGCTGGCAAAGARATAGAAAATGGAATGAAAGAGCACATTACCTCCACACTTTTCTCATTTTTGAGAGTTCTTGCCATGTTACAATTCTCCCTGTTCAAATGATTAAATTGAAAAATGAAAATGGAACAGGGGTAGAGTAGAAGGAATGGAAGGAAGGATGGAAGGGAGGAAGGATGGAAGAGAAAGGATGGAAGGGAGGGAGGGACAATGGAAGGGAAGGAGGATGGAAGGGAGAGAGGACAATGGAAGGGAGGATGAATGGAAGGGAGGAAGAATGGAAGGGAAAGAGGATGGAAGGGAGGGAGGGACAATGGAGGGGAAGGATGATGGAAGGGAGGGAGGGACAATGGAAGGGAGGGAGGATGGAAGGGAGGAAGGGAAAGATGGTAGAAGGGAAGGAGGACAGAAGAGTCATATTGACTGCTTACTGTATATGATAGTTATTCCAACCTAGCCAGTCATCTCATGTCAAGCTATTTCGTAGCTATTACTTTTAGCACACAATTTATCAAAATTAATATATCTACCTGACAATACCAGCAACCACATTCTCATCAAGGTAGCTAGAGTTGTAGTGAAACACATTGATCAAAAGAGACATTAATGGCTCCAATCTGCAAAACATTTGAGTAAATAATGAATTGCCAAATACTGGTTATCATGACAATTAAAGTAATACTTTCTTATTCTATGGCATGTACCTGTCAGTGTAAATGACTTCAGGCATCCACGACAAGAGAAAAGTACCTTTAAACAGTTAATAAAAAACAATATGATAATCAAAAGAGACCTAATTTTGGACCCTCATCTCCTATTGCAAACAATAGAGTAGGTCTTTTTTTCCAAAACACAACTTATTATAATATTTATCTAATAATAGAGATGTAAGCTAGGTTTCATCAACAGTAGCTCAGAGGTTAGAGCATCTGACAAGCAAACAGAAGATCACAGGTTGAAATCCTACCTGTACTGTAGATCAGATTTTTTTCTGAGAAACATTTACTTGATAAAACATAATTGACATCTATAATAATTTACCAAGTACAAAAAGGATCTAATATCTAATAATGGGCTTTAATATCTCACCAATGTCTTCCTCAAAGTAAGTAATATCTTTGCCATTATCACTCAGGGCTTTAAGAAGTTGTATTCTTTAGCAAGCAAAGAAATGCAAATTGAAAAGAAAAACAGTAATTATTGGAACTTGTCATTAATACACTGTCATCATAAGACGGTAAAATAATGAGAAATTCCTTCATCAAAAGAAAATGTATAATGTAGATAATGTCACAGTTCTGTGCAACATTTTGAAAGGTTACATGATAGCCTCTGCATCGAATAATAATTGTGAAAGGTGCTTTAAAAAGGTCTCTGCCATCCTCACTTGGAAAATGTGAAAATGTGTGTGCAAAATAGTCCGTGTGCGAAAAGACTGCAATTCACAGGTATGGTTACCTTTCAAGATGGTGCAAGGAAATTTGAAGGGAAATATTCTATTAACTGCTCATAAATTCATGAAGTCTTAGTATCACTTTTTTGATAAAGATGCAATGAATTTTATGTACCTTGGTGTAAAATCCTCAGGAATTTTGTRCAGAACTACAACCTTGAAGAAATGTGCCCTTAAAATATGCAGTTTGTCAAACTGTGGATGGAAATTTTTTCAATAGTCATAAATATTAGGCCAAAAAAAAAAAAAAAACATGTTTCCTGTTGTGCAACCGACCCTAATTTTCTTGCCGATTTTTGCCAACCCTAATATTTTTTCCATTTGCAAATGTACCAAAGTGTTCCCAGTAATGCCAAACAATAAGTGTTTCATTGGAGTCAGTTTCAATACATTCATTGTATGGTTAAACCTAAATGATTTGACCTAAATGCCTTGACTCTCTGCTATTCCTTATCTTACTCTTGGTACAGTATTTGTTAATATAATGAACTCTGAAAAAAGGCTAAAACTGAGTAAAAGAGCTTAAATGTTAAGTCAAGGAAGATAGCAGTGTTCCATGAGTTATTTGAGGTGCTTAATGTACACACCTGACAAGTAACCAAAACGGATAAAAACTGTAGAGCAATATGTCTTGCTTCTTGGGGATGATTATGTTGGAGAAGATCCTCTACAGCCTGCCAGGCTGCCTCTGTTGCATGCTACACAAAACAAGCAAACAAAATCTCTAAGTTTTCTTTCCTCTGTAAAAATCATCATGTGAGATGAGTGTCATATGTTGTATGTTGTAATATGGAATGTAGTGGTAGTATGTGTGGAGCAAACCTCACTGAAAAGCCTCTTTGTGGGGAGTGATGGTTATGAAATATATTTTTTACCAACATCCTACTGATACTTTACATACACCTTATTAAGAACAACCTAGTTACTGACATCCTGTCAATACCTTACTAACATCCTACCGACACCCTACTGACAAACTAAACTAAATTTAAACTCACATCTTCAAGTTTTCTGTTGACCAGGAATTCACACAATTCCTTTAATAACTTTACTCTGCTTGCTACTGGACTCTCAGGCCCCATCTCCTGTTAAAATAATATTCCATAACATTTATATTAATTGCGCGGGCGGAGGGGGGGCGGGGTAAGGAGGGGGCGGAGCAAGCACATGGTCTGAATGAATAATTCTATAGTTATTTTAGACTACAAGGTTCTTCTTAAAATACAATTGCTGAGTATACAGAGGTAATGCTAATAAGAGCATATCATCGATGCTAATAATCATATTAATCTAATAATAAATCATTAATATCATCCTAAACCTGCAGCAGCTCATTAGTAAAGGTAAACTCGTCTGTCTTCGTCCCATCGTGAATACTAATGGAGATTGGATGGCCTTTTTTGATCCCTAGAAACTGCTTGAATCGCTGTTTGAATCCTTCATTGCTGTGAGTCTTAGACATGGCTCACACATCGCTAGCCATCTTTATCAAAACGATCAAAACAACAAGATTCAACTCAACTCGTGTCCGCCATTTTGAATAAATTATAACTTGAGCCAACAGGTCCTATAGTCAGCAGAGCTACGTATTAGTACCAGGCCTACTCCGTTCCCCAGGAACGCCTGGTCTGAAAGGTCTGAAAGATACTTTTAGTAAAAAGTTCGAAAATGAGTGCAGATTTTGGAGATTTTATCGCAAAATGTAGCCTTTAAATCCACAAAGATTAGGGTTTTTATGAATTTATTAGACCATGGATGCATTTGAGGAGCTTTTTAATGCTGCTAAAGAGCCGAAGACAGAGAAAGAGATGGTCCGCGCTTATCTCAAAGTTCAGTGAGTAAACTGCCCTCAATCGTTAAGTTTTGTTATTTTTCAGTGGTAGTTATAAATCCTGTTTTATGTGTAGAGCACTAGAAGCGTGTGAAACACCGCATACAGAGCTGATGAAGTGTTATCAACAAAGATGGTTTCCTGAATGCAGTAAGCAGCAAACAGAATTCTGGACATGTTACAAACAAATGAATGTGAGTGATTCATTATGTGTGTCAAAGGGGGCTTGGGTAAAATTTAGAAGACATCTGAAAATCATTTGTGAGTTCAATCGTTTAGATCTCATTTTTTCTTAAGAAGGAGGGAGGCCTAAAAGTCTAGATAGTATAAAAAAGTATGGCCATTGTAATATACAGTAATTTGTACAGCCAACATCACAAGACCAAAGCCAATGCCAGATTTACAGTTTTTAGAACGAGTCACCATAAATGTAACAAAAGACCAGCACTAAATATATTACATTGGAGATAACCTAAAAAATGGGAATTCACCATTTTCCATACATTGGTTCACTGGTCAAACACAAAGCGCTCAAGCGAGGCGCCAAGGTACTTTCAAAGGATTATTCAAATTTGAACCTTGCAACCTCAACTGAATGCTTTGTGTTTGACCAGTGAACCGATGTTTGGAAAATGGTGAATTGAAATATGTAAACCTATCTATTGGTATTCCAGTACCCCTCTGTTGGAAAGACATAAGGGGTCTGGGGGATATTTTTAGATGTACTTGATAGTTCTTAGATGCACATAATGATATATATACTAATATCAGACATCTTTTCATTACAGATCAAATTAAGAAAGAAGCACAATGTATATTACTGAATATCAACAGCCAATTGATAAGTCATAAAAAAACTCATTGTCTGCAAGAAGCCATGTATATGGCAGACGAGTGTTGGTCAAGGTCAAGGGTTTTCATTTAGTTATCGTAAATAAATTTGATGGTTATAACCATTACAATATGAATTGTCTCCTAGTTATGAATATTAGAACTGAAGGAAATGAAGAAATATGACCATTAAAAATTTTAAAGATAAAAATTATGTATTTATTTTGTTGTTATATATTTGCAAAACTACCTTTGCTAACATGGCTAAAAGATGATTGGAGCCAAGTCCAAGACGGATGGGAAGTTTTAACTTCCTCGATCTCCCCTCCCTCTCAAAATCCCCCTTCCCCCTCCCCTCCCCCCAAAAACCATGAATGAATGGCATCAGTTACTTTGGGGTCCCTGTGTTATTTTAACATTCAAAATGTCGGTCGATGGAAACAAAACGATGAAGCGCCGATTTTCTCAACGGAACTGCAATAGAAAGTTGAGAACTCAGTCTAAATCAGAGGAGAACAGCACCTGCAGTCCATACTTTACATCTATGTGTAATGATTTAAAATTCAAGAAAAGAAAAACGGATAATTTGGCCGAGAAATCAAGCAAAAAGAACGACAACTACAGTGTCGAAAATCTTCCAGAAAATGCCGATCATTCTGCGAAACCGACTCCAGGGCAAAGAAAAAAGCTTGATAGAACATTTTACGATGTACCTGCAAAAGAACTAGCTAAGAATTTACTTGGTAAACGCCTTTATCGTGTGTTGGAAAATGGCGAAGTTCTTTCAGCTCGTATCGTTGAGACAGAAGGGTATCTTGGAGAGGGTGACAAAGCATGTCATTCATATGGCGGCAAAAGGACTTCACGGACTGAACCCATGTTCATGTGCCCTGGGACGGCGTATGTTTATTTTGTCTATGGTATGCATTTTTGTCTGAATATCTCGAGTGAGGATGCTGGAGGAGCTGTGCTTATCCGGGCTTTGGAGCCTGTTGAAGGTATGAAACAAAGATGCATTGCTATTTATAAAAGTTGAAAAGTTAGAGAAAGTACAGAGATGGGAAGTCATTTTGGGAAAAATTATCTCTTGCATGAATGTTTGTGGCAGTGAAGGATTCTGGGTAAAAGCACGTGCTAGCCTTGCCCCATAGCAGACAAGCTGTGAAAATGCAGCTTAAGTGGATGTTGAATAAAGCACTTTTAAAATTTCAGAGAAAAGGATTTTTAGATCCTCATAAGTAACACCTCTAGCAATGCCAGAACCTTAACCCAATTTTTCTTACTCTCATATTATCATCAAAATACAAAATACCCCTTCCCCTTGGAAACCTGTTCAAATGCTTGATACTGGGTGCTTTTATTGACTATTTCTTTACACAAATCATATGTCTAAGATACATGATTCAGATGTAACATTTGACTTTTTAAGTTCTGGAGATATTTGAGGACAAAATCCAACATATTACTTAAACTGATAGGTGGCGGGTTCCAGGTTAAAACCCCATCCACTCCCCTCTAAATCAGTCCCATAATATGACAATATTATTATTTGACCTTATGGTTTGTCCAAACCCAACTGTTTATATAGGTATTGAAAGAATTAAGGAACTAAGAGGAAAAAAGCAACAGAATTCTTCCAAGGGATTGCAGGACATAAACCTCTGTAATGGTCCATCCAAACTCTGCCAAGCTATGAGCATTACCAAAGAAAACATTAACAAGAAAGACATGGTTACCTCCAAGGAAATTTGGATTGAAGACGATCCAGGCAATGAGGGAATGGAGCTAAAGATAGTAACTTCAACAAGAATAGGTGTTCATTCTTATGGCCAGGATGCTGCTTCACAGCTGTTGAGGTTTTATATTCTTGGTAATAAGTGTGTAAGTGTTAGGGATAAGAAGGCAGAGGAAATATTTGAATAAGACAATTTCAAAAATTAAGGGAAGTAATTTAGGGAGGGGAGAAAGGGGAAGGTTTTTTAGAGGGAGGAGGCAGGAATTAGAGAACTGAACTCTGACAGTTATTTTTTTAAACATAATGGTCCCCAAATATACAAAAGTCTCCCCCCAGGCAAAATATATAGATTGATTCCAAGAATTTCTTAATTTCCAACAGGGCTTTCTTGGATCACATATATATTCTTCATAACAACATGACCCAATGGTCTGAATTTTTCATTGACAGAAGCCAGAAACCTAGATATCTTTTGCTGTGTAACTCATAATGATGCAAATGAATTGCAGGGGGGAGGGGTGGAAAAACCATAAAATATACCCCCTGCCTTCCCTAATCCAGGATCTGTTCCTTTGAATATCTGATAGTATGTAGCTGGTGCAATACAACACTTGCATGMTAGCGTCATTTGAATCCCACTACCACTGAGATGTTTTGAAAATTTTTTAAATTCAAATTTGTATTTCCAGGCACAATAGAATGTTTTCCCCTGGAAAACTGAGTTCTTTATCATGTAAACAAGATTAGACCAGATTCAATTGCTCCTGCCTCCTGTCATGGCTGCCATCACGTGATGGTGCAATACCTCTATTGGCGCTAATTAACTTAACGAAAGAAATTGTGCAAAGGATTCTGGTAGCTGCAGTCAAATGATGCCATCGTGCAAGCTGTATGAAATTTACCTTTAACGCATCACAACCTCTTTCTAGTTTTAAAAACTGTTATTTCTATTTTTCATCAATAATCTGTACATGTATTACCTAACTGAATGATTTAAAAAATACATTGTGATTCTTATTACTATATATATACACACATTAGAGTGTAAACCATGTATCCATGAAATACCATAACTAAATAACACTAAACACATCTATTTCTTTTGTTTTTAACCGATTTATTGGTGCTATTTTGTACTAATATAATTACTATTTCACAGATATAAGGTTTGCACTCTTTTTTCGAATACTGTATTTTATCTTTTTAAATTAATCAATATTTGTTAATTTTGTTTAATTAATGGTTTAAAACTCTGTAGTCAATTTTGTGTGATAAAAATTAAGATTATTTACAACTATTTTTATATATTGTGAACAATAAACACTATCTTTTTTGGTAAGAAAATATCAGTCTACACGTTGTTTTATTTTTACAAATATCTTTCAAAGCAACTGGCAGATATTTGTCATTTGTCAAACTCATTGGCGGAGAACTGAGGATACAAGCCACGAGGCCACTGCTACGGATTTCACCGAAGTGCGGCACAAGTGGGCAGAATAGACTGTTTAAGTAAAAAATATAATATATTTATATAATTATTAATATAACTTCAACAATATGAAAATGTCACAATTCCACAGACCTTAACTTGAATGCATGAATATTCAAAGTCATATGAAATCAAGGCTCACCCATTGTACAAAATAGGAATTCAAATTTGGAGAAGTGAAAATGTCTGGGAATGACACATGCCTAGCTAACCTGTGCCATACCTCAGGCAAAATCCATCAGCTTCAAAGGAATCTCTTATAAGCAACAAGTGGTTGTGTTGTGTGTAAGTTGATCGTACATATTGTTTAAATTATTTTTCTAATAAGATTTTCGTTTTTTTAAAATACTGTATGATAAGCCTGCTCAAAAGTAGTAGACTTATAGATTGGGTGACTAGAAATCTCCTTGAACTTTTATTTAAAAAATCAACAAAAAAGGACCATAATAAAAAAAATAATATATTTGCACACCGGCTGACGTCTGACACCTTTTGAAATGCCCTATTTGTTCAGATTTCATTTTGAAAAAATATCTAGTAATAATCATGAATATTCACAGTAACCTAAGAGTTTGATTAGGTTCATTATGCATTAAATAAGCAGCAGCCTTAATTGTATTCTTGGGATCCTTGAGATGTCATATCCATCATTTTGGTTGACTTTTACAAAAGATTTGTTCTTGGTGTCTTTTGTGTCTTCATGTCAATCAACATAGTGGCCATATCTTTCATCCCATGGTAAGGGATGCTCGCCGCAAGCACAAGGAAAATTAGTTGAGCTATGAACATATCTACAGTAACTGTAAGTAGCTTCAGTTGCCATACCCGCTTGACTTCCAGAATTACCAATTAGTGACCAATCTACTTTGGACATCTTTTTTCTTATCAGTCCACGTGTCATTCCCTTGACTGTTATTTCTTTCTTTTTCAGTTAAGCCAGGGAGGATACATTGAAATGGTATGGCTAAAATAAAGAAATATAATCTAAGGGAATGACACACAGTCTGAAATGCAAGAGCACTGCAGCAAAACTAAATGCCCTTTGCTCGCTGATACTTATTTTGATATTCTGCATAATCTGTGGTTTTGGATCTGATCCTGCAGAATGGAGAAATTACTATAATAATTTAAAGAGTCTGCCCCACATCATAATCATGAGAAATGGGCTGTGATTTTGAGTCTTGATGTTACATGTCGAGGATGGCAGATTTGTGTCCAGCACGGGTTTCTCCTTTTTCACGTATTACTAGTCTCATATTGGCCTGCAAAGGGATACAACATTGTCATTCACAAAAAACGAACATCAGTGACATAGTGATGGGGTAGGGAACTCTGAGGGACTGGGAAACTCTTAAGATGAAAGGCGTACGCGTGTATATTGGCGCGAAAATGCTACATTGGCCTCGCTACGCCCCTGACTACAGCATTGACACAATTAAATTTAGAATCTTAAAAATTTAAAGAAAGAATATATGAGTTGATTTAAGTGGAGGAAGGAAAACTGGAGTAAATGGAGAAACGATTGAAGCACACAGGAGAGAAGTAACTAGCAACTGTTTTTACAAGATAGCAAGAATAGGGATTGCACAGGACCAAGACGCACCACCCGTGCTTCCCTTATATATACATACGTACATGAAAAAATGATCAGAGGACTATCGTAAAGCTAAACTGCAGAGATTTTCGACCTCGTTTTCCCATGGCTAATCTTCTCCACAGGCAATGTGATATTTTTTCTATAGCCACATAAATCTGTCATGAAGAGATCAAGGGGAGGGGAGGGAGCAGCATACTTACTTTGTACTCGCCCCAAGAACCTATGACATCACCCAAAGTGGAATCTTTTGCCAGAAGTTTACTAACTAAAAAATATAATCAAATAGTTTTAATGGTCTAACCATATTAGTCTACCAGACTGAAATCACAAATCATCACAAACAATTCAAATGGATGACAAATTTATGACAGCGTTCATCATAGTAAGAAGAAGGGGACAAGTTGCTTGGGGCTTCCAATAACTTGTAGTGCAGCAGGAAGAATATCTCTAAATGTAGATTCAGTGTGATTTGATGGTAAAGTTCGTCTTTGCTGTTCAAATGGTTCACAGTGACTTGCCATATAAAAATCCAAATATTCTTCTTCTAGGTCGACATGAAACCTTCTCTCTATTACATTTATATTATATTTTTTGAGTCGTATTGTTGGTCTCTTACCTGACCCATCTAAAGATTCTTCCCACAGATCTAGATTATCGGTATCAATTTTTGCTCCACAGAAACTCTTATGAAGGGTGTATTGTCTGTTTGAATAAAAAAAATCAAATTTAATCGCCTTGAAAATGAGGGTAGTTCCAATTACGAGATATCCTTGGAGATGGTAAACGTACCTCAAAACTTCTTCTGTTGTGAACTCACTTTCAACTTTACAAGTCTGAAAACAAGAACATTTCAACATTTAAAAAATTGTCTTATATACTTTATGTAAAAACATTTGGTCAAGAGATGATAACTTAAAGGCAAAATTCCAAGTATTTAGCCATAATACCTTTTTATATATTACACTTATTATTTCTTTACCTTGAACGTTTTATCAGGTCGGTAGATTTTGACAACTTTAATGTCCCGAGCAAAGGGGGCATTACTACCAGTCTGGGAAAGAAATGCAACACAAAGTTACAAATGAATATTTAGCAATTATTCACCTCAGGATCAGCAAATATTGAGGAATTTATCCACTGAACCGAATTGGTCCAAAACACATTGCTAGCTCACCCATATCATCATGGTGCGTTTGATTTGGTTCAGTGCCACAGCTGTCGGGATTGGATGAATCTAATAAAAGATAGAAAGAAGAACAATGTTCATTGGCTGGTGTTGAGAGCACTGATGCTTCTACGGATCTCAATAGTTTTGTGTAAGAAAATAAAACGCATGCATTGTGTTTCCAGCGACAATCATCTTTGTAGAAATGTCGAGTGAAAAATACGAGTTTAAAATCCAATAAAACAGAAATATGAAGAAAAAAGTAGGCAAAAATCTCTAAACAAAAAGTGGGGAAAAAGTAGGGGAAATATTTTCATAAACGATTTTTTTAATTTTTTTATTTAAACATATTTATTCTCTGCATTTTCTCCAAGAGCTTAAAGCTCATCTAGGGAGATTATACAAACGATTCAATGACAATTCGATGACCATGCGAAATACAGCCCAAATGCCTAAACACATTCCTTTGCATTGAAGTCACAGATGTTTGTGGCCGAAAACACGTTTTAAGAACGATAACGGTTCTCCGGGATCCGCAGCGGTATGAAGCCATGCTGAAGTTCTCATCCTGGTAGTTCCAAACTGACCAGTACTCACCTTATCTTCTGATACTGACAATGACGTCGTTTCTTGTCCTGTCACACATTGAGCTAAAACAATAATCGAAATTAAGATTACTGCATTTCAGTTCTGGTTTCTTTTTGAAGAAAAAATTGTAGAAACGAAAAGCAGGAAAGCTGTAAATTAAATTATAATTTTTTCTTTCCTTTTTTTCTAAGGAAATTTTGTAGGAAAGAAAAAAACGAGGAAGTAAATCAAATTATATTAATTTAGAGGAACTTACCGGGAAACCATCCAAATTTGCCCTTTTGTATGCCTGGCCACCTGTAGGACAAGAGAGAGAGAAAATTCATTTGAACTCATAAACAATATATGTACAACTATTTCTCAACTGCTGTCATGCTCATGGGAGTTGAGAACTGGGACTTTGGCAAATTCCAAACGCGTTAGTTTTTGGTGTTCATCGACGCGTTCATTAATCAATAATGGGAATAAAGGGAATAAAGGGAAGTAAAAACGCAAAAAGCTGAAAAAAAGTTGCACAAATAGATGATGTTGGATTGCAATAGCAGCAATTCTTCTACTCTTTTAATTCTCATGAGGAAATAAAATTTTGAATATGAAAAAACTAATATATGCAAAGGATTCTGGTGGTAGTATTAAGGTGATACATCATGGGAATGGGCTATTATGCTATGTTTTAAATTGCCCCTAATGCTTTCGTGTCGTTCGATTACTCACCATTCAGACGTGAAATTGAAGGCATCATTCCGATAAAGACCCTGAATCGTCGAACAGAGAAATGGATGATAAGGATTTTTTTAACGATGGAGAATTACATTAACGATACGGAATCATGAGAGTAATCTTGAGTACTTTCTCATACATAATGCAAACTGCTATTCAGGGGCGGATCCAGAAATTTGTTCAGGGAGGGGTCTGCGCACAATGTTAACCCAGGGAGGGGTGCGCACCCCCTGCACCCCTCCCCTGGATCCGCCACTGCTATTACTATTGTTACTCACAGGTCGCCAAACATCGCCATCTTTGTAACCAATGACAAGTACCTCTTCCTTTTCTCTAAGATTCAGTTCTATAAGGAGAGAATGATTGGAAAGTAAAGGAGTTGGCTGGAGTAGACTTTAGGGGGGGGGGGGGATACGAGTCCTTACCAACACGATGGCATAAGGAAAGTAAAGCAACTTTAAATAAAAACTCACGGGGTTGATGTATCGTGGCGCGACTGTGACGGTGGCGTAGACAAGAATTTTGATTGGCTAAGCAGTGACCTCGTGCGCTGTGATCGGTTCAAATGACGTCGCCATGAGCCGTGCCGTGCCGTGCCGTGCCGTTTCACAGTGAAACGAAATCTGCTCTAGTAGATTTCGTATTACCGTGAGAAAACAAGACATAGTCTCGGTATGGATTGACATCTATTCAACAAAATTACAGCACACAAGATTACCATCTAAATCTCCGATACAACAATCGTCAATGTCACCGTTACAGCAAGGCACGGAAAATTCATAGCGTACATTCCCCCCCCCCCCCCCCCCCCCCCCCTCACGAAATCTGCTTTATTTCAATTACCTCCAATGACGTAGTCATGCAGCTAAAAAAATTAGTCATTGAGTTCAAAAAATTTATTAGTATTTGGTATCTGGAGAACTTACCAACATCTACTAGTTTGTGATAATCTATTTTAGCTTCGACTGTTACTGCAGTAAACTGCTGATCTGGTAGAGGTAACCCCTTGAAACACTATTGAGAAGAGAGAGATATAAGAAAACGTGTGTATTAGGCCTTTATAATGGGGTTGAAGGACTCCTACGCATTGCGCATAGAATTATGGGTCAATGCGAACTAAACTTAATGAAGTCAAAGTTCTCCTACTAATAGACCTTTTTAGCTTCGTATGCAAGTTGCCCATTTCAGATCACATGACATTCCCTTGAGAATTGTTCTTTTAAGACGAACACAGGCATCCCAGCCACTTTTTAGACAAATTTGATAGGAAATATAGGCTGCGCAAGTTCTAAGTATAGGAAAATATAGGATTTTTTCCCAAAAATATATGCACTTTATAGGAGCTAAGATAGCTTTTCGGTGGCGTAACCAGGGATCGGCCATTTAAAAAAAACAGAACCAAAA